AAACAAATCAAAAGATCATTGCAGGAGGCACCTTCGTTAGCTTTTTTTGATCCTCATAAAAAAACTGTAGTTAGTGCTGATGCAAGCTATTTTGGTTTGGGTGCAACCTTATTTCAGATCAATGAAAACGATGAGAGAGAAATTGTAGCATATGCTTCTCGTACACTGAGCGATACAGAAAAAAGATATGCTCAAATCGAACGAGAAGCATTGGCATTAACTTGGGCATGTGACGATTCAAAGAATATATTCTAGGGATGGAAATCATTTTAGAAACTGATCATAAACCCTTATTACAGATCTTACAAACAAAACAGTTAGATGATCTTACTCCAAGGCTACAAAGATTTAGAATCAGATTGATGAGGTATGTTTACATAGTTATGTATACACCCGGTAAAAATATGATTATTCCTGATTTTCTCTCAAGGCACTCTGTAGAATCTTGTTTGAATCTTGAAAATGAAGAGCTATCGTCAGAAATTGATGCTCATGTTAGATTCGTGATCAAAAATATTCCAGCTAAAGGTAGTTTTCTTGAAAAAATAATCGAAGAACAGTCCAAGGACGACATATGTAAAAAACTCAGAATATATTGTGGTTCAGGGTGGCCAGAGAAAAATAAATTACCTAGTGAAATGTATCCTTATTTTCAATATCGTCATGATATTTCATTCAATGAAGGGTTTTTGCTCAAAGGAAGTAGGCTTGTGATACTATTATCACTACAACATGAAGTATTGAAATTATATCACGCCGGGCATCAAGGAATTGTGAAATGTAGGGCTCGTGCAAAAATGGCTGTTTGGTGGATAGGTTTGTCTTCTCAAATTGAGAATCTCATACGTAACTGCCCGAACTGTGTAGAAAATCGTATTAATATCAAAGAATCATTTCATCAAGATTGCGTAGCTACTCGAGCATGGCAAAAAATTGCTATAGATCTATCCAAGGAACGAGAATGGTTTATGATCATAACAGATTATTATTCACGATTCATCGAAATTTTCAAATTGAACGACTTATCCACAAAGTGTATTACGAATAATTTGTTGCAAGTGATTGCAAGATTCGGTATTCCAGATATAATCAGGACAGATGGGGGTCCTCAATTCAGATCTGAATTCCAAGCTTTTGCGAGAGAAATTAATTTTGAACATGTGTTATCTTGTCCTTATTTTTCTCAATCAAATGGTGCTGTTGAAGCCGCAGTCAAAATTGGTAAACATTTGATTAAAAAGAACGGTAGTGACATAAGAAATTTGAATTTAGCATTATTAGCATATAGAAGTACTCCTCTAGATAATGGTTTCACACCAGCAGAATTGTTGATGTCAAGAAAAATAAAGAACTGTTTACAAATTTTGCCTAGCAAACTTCATGCAATCATTGATACTCGACCCAGTATTTTGATTGAGGAAAAAAGAAAAGAGCAACAAGCCAGTTATTATAATAAAAGGCATAGAGTGCATGATTTGGACGAATTGAAAGAGAATGATTCTGTCTGGATAACTGATTTAAAAAAGTATGGAAGAATTCTGAAAAAATCTGATACTCCGAGAACATATTTTGTGGAAACACGAACTGGAATATTCCTCAGGAATCGATGGTTCTTAGTGAGAGCACCATATTGTAATTCAAACTCCACAAATGGCATTCAAACACCATTAAATAATGATTCTTTCAATGTGATTGTAGATTCTGGAATCGTTTCAGATTCAGGGGAAAGGGAAAATGACATAGGTGGAACTGAAAACAGTGGTGAAATGTTAACTGAGAGTAGGAAATCAGATGTTCTTATTCATGAGAGTGAAGGTGTGGATGTGAATGTATCAACAGAACCTAATAATACAGATGAGTGTAAGGACACGAACGTATCCCCTCCATCGTGTGCAGGTGCTAATGTTAGAGCAAAAAGGAATACACAGAAACCGAAATGGATGACTGATTTTCTCACCTAGTTTATCCTTTTTCAGCTTTTGTTTATAAAAAGGGAGATGTTGTGTTAGGTGATTATTTATTTGAATCATTCTGTATAGAATTGGGTTTTATGAAGTGAGCCTAGAACTTCAGATGTTGTCGTCAAGATAATATATAGATGTCAGATATTCTGGAGAAGCTTCAAAATAAAACTGGAATTTACTTCAGAGTCTTATTGCTATTCAAACCAATTACTGAACATGTACTAGCATAAAACATTTAAACCATAAATCGACTGACTTTTATTTCCCACAGAGGGTTGATACAAAAATACATTTTAACGACTACGACTACATGACAGACCAGACAAGACTGTCCTTTTTTGGATGTGGCGTCCCCCTCTCTAGGCCAGACACCGAACGGCACTTCACACCACGGATCCATAGATTCACAGAACCAACTTGAGAACAACCTTGGAACTCATGAATGCTTATACTATAATAATCCAGTACCTTACATTACACTTCACTCGCTGACTGTCACACAACGACTGACTCAACATCCGATCATCAAAGTCGTTATCACCCGATGAGTCAGTAGTGTGTGCATCATTCCTTTATTAGCTAGTCTGCACACTACAATGAACATTCATTTTTCCTAGGTGACTGCAAATATGATCCATAGTGGGCTTAATCTGAATGTGATCTATGAGTGATGTAAAATTTGACTGGATAAAACTATAATTATGCTCAATGTGGGGTTGTTCAAAGAGTAGATACACATGAACTGAATGAACATTTCAGAATCGTCTGTTAACCTGGTCAAAAATATTTGAGAATGATATTATACAGTGTGGACCAAAATAATCCACGAAATAATGCATAAAAAAATGAGAAGTAAGGTAATGAGATTTTTTATGCTACAATTTATGTTACCTAGTCATTTCATGTCTTGGGTTTACTCGACAGTTTATAGCTTGAATGTGTCAAGTTCGTTGTTCTCCACTTTGTATATGTCACCAAGTATCTAGTGCATTTTGCTCCACCTATTGTGAACAAGTGATGCCGTGTGTTACGTTAGTAGTCACCTGTCTGACAGTTTACTGCTTGAATGTGTCAAGTTCATTCTTTTCAATTCTGTATATGTCACTGACGGTAATGTCAAGTATCTGATGAATTTTTCTCTGCCCTGTGTATGCCAGTCAGTGGAATCGTGTGTTTGCTTTGCTCCATTCGTGTAATCATTCGTCTGATAGTTCATAGCCTGACTGTGTTGAGTTCATTTATTTCCACCCTGTATAGTTCATTGCATCTGGCCCTGTGTATGCCAGCATGTAGTGTGTAAGGTTAGTTTTGCCCCACCAATTTGGGTGCCAGCTATTTCATGTGTCAAGTTTGTTTTGTCTCACTCAGTATACGATGTCTTTCGTCATTCAGCTTTGTAGAATACTCCATAATTCTTCCAGAGTTCCTGTAGAGTGTAAATTTTCAATATAATTATTTGTGACATGAATTTTTCTGTAAACGATGAATGATTCATCATGTGTCACAATATGTGATGAGGCATCATATACGTATTAATAATCAATACGGATAATCTCTATCTGTTTCCATAGCGAAAAATGAAGCCGATTTTTGAAGACAAAATGACTATCCATAAGGAAAAGTGAGATACGATCAGACACATACTGCTTTGATTGAAAGGCTAGTAAACGTCATTGTCCACCGAAACGCATGTCTTTGATGACTACGTATCATGCCACCAAATCCTTATGGATATTCATTTGTTTCATATTTTTGGCTTCATCCTGGCACCCGTTATGATCCGTATTGTTTATTAATACGTATATGTGAGGCAAATGTCCAGAATATTTGTATCTAGTACGCTGCCTTCCGGTTTATTATATTATATCGCGAGCTCATATCTCGCACTCATGGTATACAGGGTGTATCTAAATAACACCGAAAAAATTCAAGGGGTGATTCCTTGTGTTATTTTAGGAAATAAAGTTCATATAAACATGTGTCCTAACTTGATTCGTTTTCAAGATACAGGATGTTGACGTTGCAAGTATTAATTGTTTTTATTTATTCCTCCTCTGTATAAGCTTTCATGGTGTCAAAATTCAGTATGGTTGGAGACTGAGAAAGTCCCGAAATTTCAGAATGATTCTAATTGGGGTGATTGAGTAATCTCAATAGAAGTCATTCAAATTTGTAGTCGAATCGAATTTTCATTGTTTCCTTGAAAATTAAGCTAGATGCAGAAATTACACAGACGATGAAGAAGTTGTTATTTCAATAGTTCAATCTAATAAAAATATAAAGCTCAGAAAAACCGTTGGCATCCTCCATAAATATCGATAAATTTTTTCACTGTGACGCCACTGGATATATTATGTCGAATCTAATTACACCAGAAGAATCTTCATATTACTATTAACAAAACCACAACGTTTTATTGAAATCAGTGGAAAGACAACTGATAAATGAATAAAAAAACGATTTTTCATGGAAATATTAGTACCCTGTATCTCGAAAACGGACCAAGTTAGGAAACATGTTTATGTGAACTTCATTTCCTAAAATAACACAAGGAATCACCCCTTGAATTTTTTCGGTGTTATTTAGATACATCCTGTATAACCTGTCTTGCCTAATCATTATTCTACGAGAATATTTTCTATAGCACTCAGGCATTCCCAAGTTACGAAACACTATTATCTTCTTGTTCTCTCATTGCCTTGACTCAGATAAATATTTTTCGGTTCCTTTCGGCATATAGAGAACTGCTCAAAGAACAGCCAGCGCTATATCTTTCGAATCATCGGTGGCATTGTGTGATTTGATAGATGGCAAGTACATCAAATTGCCTTCCATTGTCTGAATAAACACCCTATGTTGCTCCGACATTCTGATCAAAGAAAGTCTCCTGTGTGTGTAAAAGAATTCAATGAATCGAAACATTCATAAATATACAATCGGAAGTTGGGGTTGCATCGGGCTGAACCGGAAGTAATGAAACGAATATTTTTTGTTAATAATTTTGAAATTTAACGAACCATATTTGCGGTATGGTAGGGATATTTCCTTTTTCCTATTCCAGATTGAATAATTTAAAGACCCAGTATGTGAGAATCTTCGTTCAACTTCATGCTCAGTTAGATGTCAGATGACAATTTTGAGGTTACCATTATATCAAAATGATACAAAAACCAGTTTGAAAAAACTTCAGGAATCATGAATACATTTCAGTCAAAATATAAAGTGTTAGACAAATTAGGAGAGGGATCATTCTCTGAAGTACTGAAATGTGAACACCGAGGAACCAAAAAATTATATGCTGCGAAAATACTCAAGAAGCCTTATAAAACTGAAGGAAATATCACAACATGTGCGGAGATTATTGCTGCCCAAAAAGTTTCTTATCATCAGAATATTCTGAACATGCTAGAGTACCATTATGACTCATTTGGAGGAAGGGTTACATTCATTTTTGAACTGATGGATATGAGTATGTACGATTTTATGAAAACAAAAAGAAGAGGACTATCTGAACATAGAGTTAGAAGCTATTTGTATCAAATACTAATGGGCTTAGATCATTTACATAAAAATGGACTATTTCATAGAGATGTGAAGCCAGAAAATATTCTGATAAAATTCCCTTCAATCCTTTATGCTCCATTGTCACAGACGAATCCGAATGAAGTAATCAAGTTAGCAGATTTAGGCTCTGTGAGAGGAATTTTCAGTTCACCACCCTACACGGAATATATTTCAACAAGATGGTATAGATCTCCTGAATGTCTATTAACTATTGGAAACTATGGTCCAAAAATGGATATTTGGTCTGCTGGTTGTGTTTTTTACGAAATGCTAACTTTAAAACCGCTTTTTCCAGGCAGCAATGAGATAGACCAACTATATAGAATTCATCAGCTTCTGGGACCACCTTCTATACAGTATCTGACAAAGCTAAAATCGAAGTCAAGAAATTGTGTTTTTTTTCCAAAAATCAAAGGAACAGGTATAGATTGTTTATTACCACATATAACTAGGAATGGTAAAAATATCCTCAGTCTTATGATCGAGTACGACTGGGAAAAAAGAATTAACGTGAAGAGGTTACTAAGGCAATGTTACTTTGATGAAATCAGATATGATGTAGAAGATATGAGCAAGATTCAGCATGCTAATGAAGGTATCAAGAGGTGTATGGGTGATGATACTAGCATTTCTCCTAGTCGAGATATAATTCGAAAGAAAATTTTGAAGACAAAAGAGTACTTCAGTGATGAAACTCAGAAAAATAGTTGGAAATTAAAATTTGATCGATGTGATGGAGATGCAAGAAATAGTAAGAAGAGTAATGAGAAGATGAAAAATGAGCATCACATAAAACACGGAGCTGGTGGCCATTATAAACCAACTGGTCAGAACTTGTCGAAACATGAAGTAACGACGTTGCCATTGGTTGAATATAAAGTTAGATCACTTAGCGGCGAGTGTTCAGTTTCGAACGACTTCGTGGATATTCGTTCTCGAAGATATAGACATGTAAAAAAGGATAAACTAGCAACATTCATGAAAGCCACAAGTAATGTTGAGTCTGTGAACAGATGTAGTATGGATGTACCTGTTTCAAAGAAACGATTCCATTCCAAATCCGTTGTTTTTCCATAGGGAATTCAAGAATACATCATACATTATACATCGTACAGAGAATAAACAGATGGTTATTTCGCCTCAGATTTATGTAGGTGTTCATTATTCTAGATTTTTTGGGATTTCCTCTACTCGTTATTTCTATTAAATGAATACTCGTCAAGTATTAACAAAAAGCCTTGAATTACTTGAAAATCAATGAATCGAAGACACCATATCGAGGTCAGACCATATAAATCATATTATTTACTCTAGAATGACTCTAGAAAGTTGATGCTATTGCCCAAACATGAAGTGAAGAGATTTAGATGGTGATGATTGGTGATTGCCTTTGCGCGTTTTTCTCAGAAATTGTAATAGGGCCGATTTTGAGCAAATCGTTAGGTTACTGTTGATCACTGAATAAACAATGTGTGCAAGGAAAGGAGATGCGATGTGGAGATCAGGAGGGAATATGTTATCTAAACCTGATCATGCAAAATCCGATATCTTGAATATCAGGAAGATTTCCATTACATGCAACAAAGATAGGCACATTACGAACAAATGTCAAAAATGCTGGAGTATACTAGGTGACCTCATGGGTAACTATATTTATGATCTGTTGAATTTCATAAAGTTTTATGTAGCGTTGATTGTTTTTATGAACAAGAAAACTCAGTAAAACTTTTTACAAAATTGAAAACTAGGCTCATTATTATGCAAAATATGGCTACTCGTTCACAACACAATATGCAGTACACCCTGGTACAGCGAAAGAGAGTTCAAAATATTAACTGAGCATTTCAGAATACTAGCGTATCCTATCGAAATTATTTTTCAAAAACTCAACAAAATGTTGGGTACCCTGTATAGATATTTTCCACCCTAGATCACCTGATATAAATATCCAAAAGTGAATTTTTTAAAATATTATACCAATGCATTACCTCAGTACTAATTCCAAAGCATACTGAGAAATATATTCTGTGATACTTTTGTATTGTCAAAAAAAAGGGAAGTCATAGAAAAAAATATTTTGTTCTGATGATAAAATTTTCATGACCCTTGTTGACGTTGTGGCGCCAATTTCATGTGACGTAATTTCACACAGCTGAAATCATGGTTCCAATGCTCGACAGCTGAAAGAACGAACCTGCCTCCTTTTTCCTTGCTTCAATCATTTAATTCAGAACGCAGACTTGCGGCGTGACGGTGTTGCCAATCTTTCAACTTTTACGAGAAACTATTGAATCCCCATAAATAGTATTTCAACTAAACCTTATTAATCAAATATTCACATACATATGGATGAAAATCCGCTCTGAGACTTTGATTGATAGTTTCAATTAGTGTTATAGACTGTTGGCCCGCGACACAGGGTTTATTGATGTTCTAAGTCGGTATGCCATTTAAGGAACCCACTCACTTAGTCCAAGTTAACAGGAAGGAGTGCCTCGGAGAGTCGCAACCCAGTCCTTGCCCCGGCCCTGACCTCACCTTTCGGTTGGAAAAAGTTCAAAATTTTGTTCAAGAAGAAGCTCGGCAATGAAGTGCAATGATCTTATCTCTCGAAAATTGGGGCGCTTGCCGGTTTACATACGCTTAGGTCACTTGTTGCGAGCGGTCAGGCTGGAAAAGGGGTGGTCGTAAGTTGTAGACCAAAACACTGTATACTTATCGACTACATTTAATCACTGGTGATTTCATTGGCGGAATTAGTACATTGGTTGAGTTGACAAAAGGTAAAATTTAGAATGAATATCTAACTGCAACTGCCTGCGCGTGGCTTCGTAAAGTTTATTTAAAGAACATTCAAGTCACGTGACAGTCATAGTGCATCACGCCATCAATAGACAAAAAGAGGGATATATAAAATAAAGATAGAAACAAATAGCAACATGGTTTCCTGCAACAGGTCGTTGTTACATTAAAACTGTAAAATAAGCAAATGTTGCAATAGTGTAGACAATGTTAAATAGAACAACTGAGTTATAATATTATAATATTCATATACAAGGCGAATATAATATAATGGGTGAAACAGCATTGCAGTTCACACCTTCCCCCTTAAAAAGGAAATTGTAACTTCTAAAAAAAGTTGCAATTTTATTTCACTTGACATGTTTTTGCTTTTTATTTTCAGAGATTTGCAATTCAATAAATTCGGCTTGATTTTCTGGGGTAGCATTACTCTTATTGCTGAAAATCAATTTTGAATACTTATGTTTATAGAAATAATACAATATAAGAAATAAAAACACTGTACATAATACAATATACATAGTAATATGGTGAACTGAAATTGAATAAAAGGAATTATCATCTGATAAACGAGTTTTAGATATGTCCTCCCTTAGTTTTCTAACTTTTTGACTATATTTATCAAGGTTCAGAATCTGGTCTGTATGTATAAGAGATTTTGAAATACGCAATATTTCAGTTAAATTAGTTTCACTTATTTCACTGAAAATCGTAGTATTTATAGGAGTGTAAATTATAATTTCTGGAGCACTTATGGTGCTTGAGAACATTTGTTCTGAGTGCAAAATAATCGATTCAGTGTAAGCAATTGAACCAGGTTTAAGTTTCAGAATCCCAATTGACTCAATATTTACTGATAATTTTGATTTCTTGAAATTGATATGTAACATATCTGGTTTCGGACCAATGAACAACCAAGTGTTGCTCGTAGCAAGTTGAATAAAAATAGAATTGCTAATATCAATAACTCGTTGATCACATGAATTAGGAATGGATTCAGGAATATAAAATAACATTGCTTCACAATTTGACATATCATTTATTACATAAATTGGAAATTTTTGTCTACAAATAAACCGTGATTGAAAATTAAAACACTTTTCAATAGTATTTCCAGCAATTAGAAAATAATTATGCTTAAGTTGATCTATACTAATAAATGGTTTCTCTGGTAAGAGAAAAGTATATATGAGTTTTTCATAACTCTCATAGGTATAACAGATATTTTATACAATTCAAAGGTTTGAGTTGTAATGAGGGGAATTCTCAGAATAAAATTCAATTTGTCTTTATAAAAATAAATAGTAACATCGATAAAGTAAAAAACATCGATATTTTTTCTATCTAACGGAACAGGAAATGTTTCATCTATTTTCAAATGTGATTGCATTTTTTCTAGTTTAGCAGAAAGTTTAAGAGGTGTAATAATCAAAGGATGTAATTGACCTCGTTCGGCATATAAGATTATATTGTTACGTTGGCCTTAGGGGCTACTTTTGAAATAGGGGTTTTGGGTACAAAGTATACTTGTTAGGTATAAAGCCAGAATACTGTATCTTTATTCGAGTTGTCAATCAGATGGTATTATTACAACTAACAACTGTGCATCATGTTTTACAAGGTGTAACTTTGCATGGTGTCCCTCCGACCCCGCACACTTGCTGAGCAAGCCCAAAAGACGTCGTTGGATACACGTTGAAGTATCAAGAACAGGGGCGTATCGCGACACTCCCCATGTTGAAAAAACATCGTCCCGATGTTTAGACTGGCACAACGACGAGAAGTCCTGTCAAGCGGTCGAAGTCTTCAGAATCCATGGTTGACAATTCGTTCTATCATACATGATGCCTGTAACAATAAGACGAGAGCAGTAAAAGTTCTACAACAAAACAAAACAAAAAGAAAAATCATCATTATTTGTCTTTTTTCCTGAACCTATTTTTCAAACATCCATCTCCAAGCATACATTTTCTCTAATTTTAATACAATTCCAGAGATAATTGATCCCTTTTGCCAGACTACATTATTTTTCTCTTAATACTACTTATATTCTAATCGCGATTCTTTCTGGTATACCTATCCTCTATTTTTCACTTCTATCTTTTTTCTTAGTATTTTTTGATGTTACTACATTTTCTTCGGCCGTTTGTTTTTGATCTTCCTGTATAATTCCTTCCTCTATCGATTTGTTAGCTTTACTGACTTTATTTTTTCTTATAGTATACAATACCAACCATAATTACAATGATCACAAAAATTGAAATAATATCATTCAAAATAACGTTCAAATCCGCTGACTTAGCAGTAGGGACTGAACCAAATCCTACTAAATATGGATTCCTGACAATAATGACTATAACCAGGGCCGTAGTGACAAAATTTATTACATTAATTATTTTCCACCCTTTTTCAAAAACTTGCGTGGGCACTCATGATTCATTTGATTCGAGATTTTCTAAATTCATTTGAGATTTTGGCTCGTTTAATTTTAACTTTGGCTCTTCTCATTTAAACACTCTGAAAAGTTCTCAAAGTTGAGGTGTGTGTAAGTAGACATTGGCTTTATTTTAAAGGAGTCTAATTTTAACCATACAGCCATGTGTTTGAAATTGAATTTCGAGATACCTTTTGCATCACATGGGAAAATTTTGGAAATTATTTCACTTTCTTCTGAAAATAATGAACAAGAACAAGGAACATCTTACTTACTTACTTATTATTTATTGTTCGTAAAGAATTTACAATTCTTATAACAATGAGTTTTGTGTTTCGTATACCTGGCTGATAGCAGTATTAAAGCAGAAAGAAAAAATAAATTAAATTAAAGAAAAAAAAAAAAATGGTATGGCAATAATCTTTTCCAGAAGCATGAAGAGAAAGGTGGATAAACATGCAAAGCTAATATTCAGAAAACAAAAATATTAAAATACAATATCAAAATAGAGACTATAATAAATACATCGGAGTTACTATTCATTCAGAACAAAAGAGCGAAGCTTCAGTAGGCCTGCTAGGAAATGTACAACATTTTGTAGATTTTTAGGAGTGCCAGTATTGAGGGTTTCTAATAGATCATTCATGTCTGTGATCTGTGGCTTCAACAAAATTCTCAGTCCTTCATAAATGGGACACTCAAAGAATAGGTGAGAGATTGTTTCATTTCTGCCTAAATTGCATATAGAGCAAGTTTGATCCATTTTTATAATATGAGTTGAGCCATTGGCTCTCAATTTCAAAAAATATTTATTAGCTGTTCTTAACTGTGCAATTAGTCTGATGGATGAGATTGGATTAGACAATTTGAGATAAAATAGGCCATTTTCATTAGTGAGTAATTTATACAGGTAAGGATATTCTGAGTGGGATAGCCTAATCTTATCCTCTCGGAGTAAAAGCGATTGATAGGAAGTGATAATGATGGGAGATAGTTTTTTAAAATCTGTTCTGAGAAGGTTTTCTGATAAATCCCGTCTTTCTAGAATGGAAAAGTAATTATACATTTGCTTTACCCAATTGAATTTAGATTCTGTCGTGGAGAGCTGTATCAGACGTAAAAGACATATTTTTGGGAGGCGAGAATCATTCATAGTTTTAATTTTATTTAACCAAGAAAGGGCGGACTTCAGAACTAGAAGACTCAGTTTTGTCGAAGAAGTTTTCAATCTAACAATATGATCTGGAGTATTTTTAGCTAAACAAAGTAATCTCTTGAAATATGCAACTTGTATTCTTTCTAGTAAGTCAGTATACCGGAGGCCCCAAATTCCGACACAATACGAAAGGGAAGATATGACAACTGAGTTATATAGTTTCATTCTCGCGTCCCACGACGTCATTTTGGAGTGGATCATGAGATCCATAGTAGCTCCAAGAGCTTGTTTAGCCTTG